AAGATCCAAGAAGCCATGATAAAGGACATACAATATGAGTTCACAGGTTGGAATCATTATAAGAAGATAACTTTCGCAATATTAGCTGTAAATATTCACTGAATGACCTCATCATGCACACAGCATTGCATTGTATACAATAGTGATCAGTGAAATGAGGGATATTTTACAGAACAATTCTGTCTTAAATCCATGGTGCCAAACAAATTACAAAGTCAACACGTTTTCTCACTGGCGTGAAAATGTAAACGTTTGAATTTATAGATTAAGAAGCTGTAAATAAGTTCAGTCATTCCGCTAAATTCTTTTGTCCTCACGTGGTAAAGAAATTGCTAGAGAACTATCAGGGGTTAAAGTTGTTTCGGCTCTTCCAGCTTTGAATGCTTACCGTATTCGACGTAATAAGCGCCCAGGGTGCTCTCAAAATTAGGAATAGGGGGCTCTTGTCAGAATAAAATTTTGGTGAATAATCGAAAGATCGTAAATTTCGTGGTTTATGCTGACAGCCTGTAATGTTTATACACGACAGATATATTTTCCAGAATTTAATTGCTCATAATTAGGGGTGCAAATAACACACGAGTGTGTATTATACAGGAATAAATAAGTCTTGTGTATATTAATCAATCGGAAGGGGTGCTAATTTGGATTGTTCACTAGCCAATATATTAGCAAATATCGCCGTGCACGCTTAATAGAGCGGGGTGCTTATTACGTCGAATATGGTATCTTGGTTGTTTGGTTTGGTTATGTAGACCGTACTTTACCTATTCACTGCTGTATTGAGCTGTTGTCTGAATCAATAATATCAACAAACTCCGACAGCATTCTACAGTCTGTGTCTACTTTCTGGCTTGGGAATTCGCACTTCAGCATTAGGCAAACTTTCTACAACAACATGGTTGCAATCATAATACACATGCTGTAGTTGGATTTCAAATTTTAGATTTGTATTTGACCTAACAACAACTACAACAACAACAATAATATTAATAATGATAATCATAATAATAATAAGTTCCTTTCTTTTCATGGAGCTACTGGTTAATAGATCAGTGTGCAATTTCAATCTCAGCTCCCTTGGGAGTATACAAAGCTTGCTTAATTGGAATTATTTTTGATTGAAGTTTTGTTAATCATATTATTTGGTGCGAATCGTGTCGGCATAATTCACACCAGTATAGTACAATCCTGGCTTATCAGTTGATCGTCATTAAAAGGGAAAGGGAGAGGAGAAGATAATTCTGACATTCATACTTCTGACAGTAATCTTTCATACAGACCTTGAAACAATAGTATTGGAAAACATCCCAAGCAAGTCTACAATACTTTGGCACATCTAGACTAGCCTGAAAATGAAGAGATTCTATTGGCATTTTTCTGTTATGTGTTAAAAGATATTCTGACGAAAAAGTCTTCAATATTAACAGTGTTTGAAATAGTTTTAAAACCCAACAAGACAGTCGGCAGGTGACCCTTAAATGTTGCCTGCCCATCTTCAAAGTTAGCGAGGGCAGGGGTGGCCCAGTCATCTAAGGTGCCGCGATTCGCCGTGCAGAGTTGCATCCCTTGGGCACTCCAGAAACCTATGATTGTGGGTTCGAATCCCGGGTTGCCCCGATTATGTTTCTGGGTTTGTCAGCACCATACCCGTGCTTGTGGGTTACACCGAAGTGGTATACATGGTATCACTCTGGGCTTTCCTTCCACATTAAGCAGACACGCCATGATATAACTGGAATACTGTTAAAAACAGACCCGTGAAGATCCGGGGTAGAATAGGTCTTCAGCAACCAATGCTTGCTGTAAAAGGTGGCTATGCTTGTTGTAAAAGGCGACTAACGGGATCAGGTGGTCAGGCTCGCTGACTTGGTTGACACATGTCATGTCATTGATCCCAATTGCGTGGATCAATGCTCATGATGTCAATCACTGGATTGTCTGGTCCAGACTTGATTATTTACAGACCGCCGTCATATAGCTGGAATATTGCTAAGTGCGATAAACCAACAACCAACCAATCAAAAGCGGCGTTAAACCCAATTCACTCAAAGTTTGCCCGCACGTAGACATTATACATAAAATTTCGAAAAATAAGAGACAACTCCCATCTTGATTCTGTTTAAATGATGCCAACAATAACTTGAGAATCTACAAGGAGTTATAACAAGACTGAATACATAGACCGCCTCCGTGGTCTTGTGGTAGAGCGCCCGCCCCGAGAGCGGAAGGTCCAGGGTTCGATCCCGGGCCGCGTCATGCAAAAAGACGTTAAAAGATTGTACTTGTTGTTACCCTGTCTGGCGCTCGGCATTAAGGGGCTAAAACAAGGACTGGTCAGCTCGGAGTCAGTATACTGTGTCTGAGTGGGGTATTCATGCTAAACTGCGGCATGGTATCTCAGTGACCTAGCACTATAAATCGGCATCAGTCCGTGATATTGCTGGAATATTGCTAAAAGCGGCATAAAACCATACTCACTCACTCAAAAACCAAAAAAGAAAAACAGCATTTTCACTTTCACATTGACTTTGATCATTATCCATATTGTAATAATTTATATTCATTATATTCCCCATGTTTATATTGATGTTCAGGGCCCACTTGCACAAAGCGATCTAAGCACTATGATGATCGTAACTCCCATACTTTAACATAGGCTTACGATAGTCTTAGCGCTAAGATTGCTTTGTGCAAGTGGGCCCTGGCTTTCATTATTTCCTTGTCTCAGATAGATATCGATCTGTTGTAGGTGTTTGTCATATAATGTATTGTATCTCTAATTATGAGATTAAATAACATAATCACTGAGTAAATTAGTAATGATATAAAAAACACTATCTTATGAAGTGTGTCAGTGGTTCTGTTGGTAACATATCGATAGCATTTTTGTGTCTGCGGGAAGCTCTCTGAATCCCAATTACTTTGTGATAATAATAGGTCAAATGTTATTGATTGTCGGGAGTAAATGACATCAGTGGCAATCTGTCTTTGATCTGTCACTCACAGATCAGTCACATGTGTCACGACTTTTGCAATACATGTGACCTCATTACAAGGCTCATTGTAGCATATTAATCATATTAATATATTGGGTTTTTTAAAAAGTGATATAGTGGTTTTGAGACATTTCAAAGCATGTAGGTTCAGACATGTTGGACTGAACACAATGATATTGATCTGAATATTGCAACAGGTACAAAAAGAACTAATTGACATATTATTGCACTGGTTCCTGGACCATTATATGAGGTGAGGTGAACATTTGGTTTAACGTCGCGTCCAAGATTATTGCACTTATATAGCGATGTGCATGCACGTGTGTGTGGCTGCTTGTACCAGTCCGGACTGATGCCGATTTATAGTGCTAGCCCACTGAGAAACCATGCCACAGTTTAACATGAATACCCCACTCAGACACAGTATACTGACTCTGAGCCGACCAGTCCTTGTTTTAGCCCCCTAATGCCAAGCGCCAGACAGGGTAACAACAAGTACCATCTTTTAACGTCTTTTGGTATGACACGCCCTGACCACTAGACCACGGAGGCAGATGACAATCATATGAACAAATATGTATAAATTGTAACCACGTGTTGCATATGTTAATCATGTAATTAATGTGAGCTTGAAATGAATGCGAAAAATAGGATTGACACATTTTTGTAATGTTATTATTCAGTTGAACTGCTATCACCCAATACTGTATCTGGTATTCTAAATCTACAACCTTGGTGTTATCATTTGCTGATAAGTCTTTTTTTTAAGTTCAAAGGAAAATCTACTCACAATAATTTCATGATACATTTTAGGCCAAAGATGGCCAAATTTGTGTAACTTAATTTCGTGATTTACGGTATGAGAGTGAATGAGTGAAATTTTCTTAATCCACTTGTATACGTAATAAGTAAATAAGTATTACCTCATATCAGCATTATGTTCACAGCAAATCATTCAGAATTAAGTATCGGTAGGTCAAAGGTCAAATTACCAAGACAGTGCTGACTGAGTTGTATTCCCAGAAATCTTGAAAGTGTTAGGAAAATGACATGGTAGACAAACAGAACACAGGCGTGACAGGCAAGTTTAATAATTATTTCAGCCATGTTGAAATGACATGTTCAACTCTACTTAGCTATTTCTCCATGTATTGTATTGGTATATAATCTGAGGTCCCAAGGTCCCTGCTGTGCAGAGTTGCGTCCCTTGGACACGCCAGGAACCTATGATTGTGGGTTCGAATCCCGGTTCGCCCCAATTATGTTTCTCGGTTTGTCAGCACCATACCCGTGCTTGTGGGTTTCACCGAAGTGGTAAACGTCTGAGACCTGCATCACTTCGGGCTTTCCTCCCACATTAAGCTGACACGCCGTGATATAACTGGAATACTGTTAAAAGCGGTGTTAAACCCAACTCACTCACTCACCCAAGGTGCCTGAAGTCTGCTGTTCTGTTGTTTGAATATGGAGACCTGTGAACATGGTGACCTTGACCTGTTAATGTTAGGGTCAAGAGAACGGCCTTGACATTCATTCTGAATTTGGAAAACTGTAGTAAGCGTTATGTGACAGAGTTTCTGAATGTTGAATATTTGCAGAATTGTAAATGTGGCCCAGATATACGTACCCTCTTCATCAATCATGTAATAAAAAAATGAGCTTATTGTCTCAGTGCTATTTTTGTTACCCTTTTGTTTTTCTTCTTTTGTGAAAGTTTTTCATGTATTCTATTCAACTCTATCAAAGGTAGATTCATTTAGAGGTAATCATTGTCATCAAATGAAACATGACACAATTATATTCAATAACCTGAAAATATTGGTCAGTTATTCAGGATCGTAATGTTCTGTTTTGTAGCAATATAACAAGTGGCATGAACTTTGAAATGGCTTTAATTATTGTACAGTCTATTCATCAGCTTTGCATAGATTCATAGAACCGATGTTTTTATTTTTCAGAAAATGAACATCTGTTACTTGTCGTTCCCTGACTCTAACTCAGGTACGTATATAAACTCACATTGATAGAAACCTCCTCATGTCCCGGGCGGTCGGGTAGCCTAGTGGTTCAAGCGTTCGCTCGTCACGCCGAAGACCTGGGTTCGATTCCCGACATGGGTACAATGTGTGAAGCCCATTTCTGGTGTCCCCCGACGTGATATTGCTGGAATATTGCTAAAAGCGGCGTAAAACCATACTCACTCACTCACTCCTCATGTCCCCTTCTACCCACATGTGTCAGAACGGTCTCTATGCTGTCACGATAAACAATTTTGATATTGACTTGTCGCTTCTCAGAGCTGGGGGCTATTCCATGGTGTTTTCCTAATAGATTCACAATTTAGAACATAATGCGCCAACAACTAATAATGCACATGTAATTTCAACAAACTGCAACACAAATCCCTTCTAAAATCTTCTGCCTTCAAATGTGTGTTTTTATATTTTCGATCATGCAACTGTCTATATAATTATCTCATTGTTACCATCAAGAGGGTACTCAGCAATGGCAGATAAAAAAAATAATTTCCGGTCTGGTTTCCAACTTGATAAGTAAATATATTGTTGCATGATTCATTATTTGAAGACTGGAGGAAGGAAGTGAATCATGCTGCATTTGTCATTTGAATCACAACACATGCACTTGACCGATGCATATTGTTTGTTTGTTTGCTGTTTAACGCCGCACTCAGCAATATTCCAGCTATATGACGGTGGTCTGTAAATAATCGAGTCTGGACCAGACAATCCAGTGATTGACATCATGAGCATAGATTAATGCAATTGGGATAAATGAGATGCAGATTTGCATTTCGGGAATCTATTATGAAAACATTAGGACTGCTCTGTGTGGCAACAAGTCAATATCAAAATCATTCATAGGGAGCAGCACGGAGATACAGTTACCATGGTTACTGCAGGTATGTCAGAATTAATCTGAAGGGCCCAGCGCTGTGACTGTTGTAACATCCATACACTAATATGATCTTATGACAGACTTAACACTAAGACTGCTTAGTGGAACAGGGACCTGGACGCAACTTGCTCAAATGGATCTTAGCGCTAAAAAATAGTATAAGCCAGTTTTAAAGTATGAGAGTTAATCGTCATAGCACTAACATCGGTTTGTGAATGTGGACCTAGGACCTTATTCTACAGAGTGATCTTAGCACTAAGATTAATGTACGAGCGTAACTCCCATACTTATGATAGTAACAACGCCCACGAAGTAGTGATCTTAGCATACAGTTTCAGTAAACATGAGGTACAATGGATCAAGCCAGCAGGTGCCAAGACAGCTAAGCTTACATTGCTCAAACGACAATGTTCGTGCTTGATACCGTGGGCAGCATGTGTCATATACAGTCAAGTCTCGTTAATCCGACAATTGGCTTCATCCGACACAAATGATGGGAACCGATTGAATGAGTGCTATTTAGACCCGTTTATCCGACAGTCTCTCACTCCGACTCCGACACACCTAATTTCTCACTCCGACTCCGACTCCGACACACCTAAATTTGCAATGAATTACCGAAATCACTTATTAATCAGTCTTGTTAATCCGACACAGTGATCAGCGTACTCCGTGGTCATCTGCCCGCGATTACACAGCCCGTGTTTTGATGCGAGACGAGTCGGCTAGTAACTGCATATTACACAGACTGCAGAGATAAACTTGCTTAACAATAAACAATTGATGCTTTAATAAACAAAACAGGAATAATCACATGCTTAGATTACCTCAATCTCATTGAGATCTGATGCAAGTTCTAGGACATCCCATTACAAGTCACGTCAGAACGACCTTTTGCGAACTTTAACCGACCAATTAAATGACTAACAGGAAGTCGACATTAGCCACTAAGAAAGCAGCCTTCTTGAGCTTTGTGGCACTAGTTTTAAACTGGCGACCTCCATTCCAGACTATGATTTTTAAAGTATTTTAAATCAGTCATACGTAATCGTAGTTTTGTGTTCAGCTTTAGAGTTTTCATGATTAGAAAACATATTCCGCAAACAATGTAACATAACAATATGAATATTTCATTTTTCACTTTTTTATTATGTGTTTGTATAGTTATCTATCCGATCTTTGTTTACGAACGTTGATACTACTTAATTACGTTTATCCGACATACTCATATGCAACAAGACGATGTTGGACTAACAGGACTTGTGTCTGTCTGCTCTACTCGTTGCTTCAGAGGAGGGCTCATTTGACATCCCGAAGTGACACACAGCCTCATTTAATAGCTGACTAAACATAGATTCATACACATCATCACACCTCACATTGGTATTCGGGGCGGTCAGGTAGCCTAGTGGTTAAAGCGTTCGCCCGGGTTCGATTCCCGACATTCTGGAAAAATATATCTGTCGTACATACACATTTCAGGCTGTCAGCATAAACCACGAAATTTATCTTTCAACTCTGTTTTTTTCCCCAAAATAATGTTCTAATAAGAGCCACCTATTTCTAATTTTGAGAGCGCCCTGGGTGCTTATTACGTTGAATACAGTACTGCCTGTATCTGTCAAATGTTTATAGTGTTCATTAAACATCGTGGAAAATCTTAAGTGTGCACCCAGTGTTCATCCCGAGTTAGAACTTTTGCCAAGCAAACGATCTGTGTCATAAGAGGTGATTTGACTCTGTGACCTGGATGACTGTGTGTCATTGTACCCTGATCACAGATCGTTGTTCGATATATCAATCATATTCCAGCTGTATAATACATGTCTGTAAATTATCAAGTCAGAAGCTGATGGACTAGTGATTGATATTATGAGTAACGATTCTCGCCATTCAGGATTAATGAATCAGGTTGCCGAGCCAGGCCACCAAATTCAATACGATAGATCACCTCTCACCTCCAGCATTGTTTTTTGGGCACCAGTTCTATCCCGGAATCTCCACTTGTACTTTTACTTTTACATAGTGATCTTAGTGCTAAGATGATTGTAACTTGCATCCTTTTATATAGCTTACAGAAGTCTTAGAGCTACGATGTCTTTGTGGGACAGGGCCTATGTCATTCTACATTGTGATCTTAGCGCTAAGATGATCGTAACTTCCATCCTTTTATATAGCCTTACAGAAGTCATAGAGCTACCATGTCTTTGTGGGACAAGACCCTTGTACTTCTACATAGTGATCTTAGCGCTAAGATGATCGTAACTTCCTTCCTTTTATATAGCCTTACAGAAGTCATAGAGCTACCATGTCTTTGTGGGACAGGGCCCTTGTACTTCTACATTGTGATCTTAGCGCTAAGATGATCGTAACTTCCATCCTTTTATATAGCCTTACAGAAGTCGTAGAGCTACGATGTCTTTGTGGGACAGGGCCCTTGTACTTCTACATATAGATCTTAGCACTAAGATGATCGTAACTTCCATCCTTTTATATAGCCTTACAGAAGTCATAGAGTTACGATGTTTTGTGGGACAGGTCCCTTGTACTTCTACATAGTGATCTTAGCGCTAAGATGATCGTAACTTGCATCCTTTTATAAAGCCTTACAGAAGTCATAGAGCTACGATGTCTTTGTGGGACAGGGCCCTTGTACTTCTACATAGTGATCTTAGCGCTGAGATGATCAGAACTACCATACTTTAACATAGGCTTATGATAGTCATGGAGCTAAGACCATATTGACCCAGCTAGGAATCGATCCGTGTGCAGTGAAGCCGTGGTGGGTGGGGTCACTAGCAGGCACCTATTCATTGACATATTGATGAGATACTTTCAGCAGAGGTCCAGTAATATGGATTTCAATTAGTCAGCGTAGTTACCGGTAAACTTAGGCTTGGACTGGTAATTCATGTGACTGTCAGTCCTTGTGGACCGGCAAATAAAGTACCGTATATAAATCTTTGTTGTTGAACAAAACATTGGTGATATTCATATGAGTACATTTTTCAAACTAAGTCAGCTTGTCTGTTGCCACGAGGGTTTCCCCTGCGTATATTTCTAGGTTAAATATCCATTTGTGGCGACTTTGTCTCAAAATATTAAAAAAGAGAGAGAAAATTGTGACTGAAGTTTGTGTGAATGACATAAAGATCTAACTAAGTTATTTCAGGGATGACATCTTTGCACTGAGCATGATGTTGAAAGAATTAAAACTAAATAATTTTCATACATGTTTTTATTTGTTGAAAGTTGGGACTGGTAAAAGTTAGGGGGGACTGGTAATTTTTAGAGTTGCCTGTCCACCAGGACTGGGAGCTTCCAAAGCCCGCAGGAACACTGATTAGTTGGTTGGTCATTCTTCGCTCACCTGACCACACACCCTTTTTGAGAATAGAGGAATTGGGGTAGCTTAGTGGTTAAAGCAATGGTTTGGCATACCAAGAGTTCAGGTTCAATACGGGTACAATTGTATTCGCAGCAAGGATGTTGCAGGAATATTGCAACGTAAAGCCCTAGGCCCCCCATTAACTTACTTTTAAATCTGATAGCTACTGTCATGTCCTAACAGTAAATGTATTCTAAGGGCAGTGCTCATTTTTAGCTCACCTGACTAGTAACAATGCATCACTAGTTCTATCAATAGTCAGGGCGGTCGGGTAGTGTAGTGGTTAAAGCGTTCGCTCATCACGCCAAAGACCTAGGTTCGATTCCTGACATGGGTACAATGTGTGAAGCCCATTTCTGGTGTCGCCCGCCGTGATGTTGCTGGAATATTGCTAAAAGGGGTGTAAAAACTCACTCACTCACTCACTCACTCACTCACTCACTCACTCACTCACTCACTCACTCACTCACTCACTCACTCACTCTCACTCACTCACTCACTCACTCACTCACTCACTCACTGTGGAGCTGAAACTTTGTGTTAATGTTCCCAGCTCTGATGTCTCTAAACAGAGCTCAAAGAATGCCCGTAAGAGGCGACTAACAGGATCGGGTGGTCCGGCTTGCTGACCGCCTCCGTGGTCTTGTGGTAGAGCGTCCGCCCGGAGAGCGGAAGGTCCAGGGTTCGATCCCGGGCC